TTTTCTTTAAAGAAAGAAAGGAATCAAACATGGGAAGCAGGAATGTATCATGAGAAACAAACCAATGGTTTCAAAAATTCAGACAAGGCCCTGCCAACGGTAATAAATTGAGTAAGGACGATGTTGAGAGGGAGAGAGAAATGAAAGCACAAGAAGAAGGTGAGGAGGTGCGTGTGAAGAGAGGATGGTATTTACACACAGTTCCAAACATGTCGTCGCTGAAATAAGCAAACAGGACAAATGAATTCACACCATTGAGAACAAAATCAATATTCAAGCTTCATGAAGAATTCAGTGCAATTTTTAAGTATTTATGTTGTCAAGAGAGAGCCCACTGGACTTTGACATGCTGTGTAGCTGTGCTGGCATTTCTCAACTTTTCTGAACTCAGGGAGTACCACAGGGACTGTCACCGGGGGCATCCTGCCATTATCCAAATAGATCAAGATCAAAAGAAAAGAGATCTACAGGATGAATCTCATCCTCTGGAAACTATGAATGAAGAGTGGATTTTATTTTTTAATTATCACTGATCATAACATTTGCAAATGAGAAGCCAATGTTCTTCCACAATGCATCCAGAGAGATGCTGCCCTCCTTTTGTTCTTGTTGTTCAAACACTGGTCCATACAAGTAATATTGGATGAAAACCTAAAAAAAAGTCACGCTTGCTCCTACTTGAATTTCAGAGTGAGGAATGCTTGACTGATCTAGCAAGGAATGCTCTACCGATTGAAATTACTACCAGAGCCCCTGCGGCATTGATCTCAATTGCTGCAGGTTTTGGTAAACAGCACCTTATGTGCCTACAAATCAAGTAATTAACGCTTACAACAGAACAGAGTCTCAACAGGATCAAAGTTGGATATCGCATTTATCATGAGCCCAATACCAAGATTGAATGGTGATTCGGTGGAATAGAAATAAGAAGAGAAGGAGAAGTGACCACTTGAACACCATCTGGCCTCAGGCAGGGAAGAAAGTGCCATCAGAATCACCAGTGACACAGGCAGACATTGACACCCTCCTTCACATATCTTCTGCCCTCCCTTCTCTCACTGTTTGGCGCGCTGCCTCTGCTTTGTAATCTTTTCAGCTCCTGCTTGTTGTCTTCTGGTGTTGTGCCGTGCCCTGTTTTATTCTGCACTGCTCTGATCTGTTCTTCTTATCTTGCACCGTGCTCTGCCTCATACTGCTCTTTACAGTTCTGTTGTATTGTTCTCAATTAAACAAAAGGAACATGTGATTGCCCTGACAACTCATTCTCTGTGCACGGCTGCGCCTGAGGCACTTTCTCAGCAGAGAGACTTTAGGGATAAGAACACAGAGCAAAAGGTACAGGCAGATGAATATTCAACAAGCACAAAAAGACAGCTAGGCAGGCAGAAAAATTTAGATTTTAATAGACAACCAGACACCACTGTGTTGCCGTCTATCCACCCACAGGCCAGAGGAAGTGCTTGTACAGTACCACAGCAGATGTTAGCACCTAACCTATGATTCCTCCTGAGGCTTTCTCTGCTCTTGGTGAAGAAGCCTGACTAGTGCTCAGTTATGGTCAGTCTATTCCTGGGTATAAGCTGTATAATACAGTTCATCATCTAAAAGACATACAAATTTAAGTCAACAGACTGATTTAGTAGGGCTTTCATAGACTTCCAAAAAATAGTCAGCACTGACAAAGCTTTGCGGCTTCAGAAAGTATTAAGACCTCTTCCCCTTTTATTGTTAGAAATTTGTAAATGGATCAAATTGCACCTAACGACAAGATAATTAGTTGTTGCACATTTCTTTTGCAAACTGAAATGTCTTTTTTTTTTTTTTTTAAGTATTCAGACCCTATTCTGTGGTGCTCAAATTTGTATTCAGGTGCCAGGTGCCTCCTCTTTGATTTAAGTATCCTTGAGATTTGTCTAGAACTTGTTTAGCGTCCGCCTGCGGCAAAGTGAATAGATTAGGCATAATTTAGAAAGACATACATGTGTACACAACGTCCCACCATTTACACTGCATTAAATAAAATATAGAAGACAGTCTCTCCGTGGACATTAAATAAAATTGTAAATGGCAAATAGACTGAATTTGAATATCACTTTGCCAGGCTCATCGACAAAGCACTTTACAGTTCTATTTACATCCACCTATTCACTCACGCATTCATACAGCACCTCTTTATGCAGCGCTCTTCTATCACACACCATTCATACACTGTCAGTATATTCAGTAAGGACACTTTGGAATAGAGACTGGAGGAGCCAGTTATCAAACCATTCTCCTTAGTGAACAACCCTCTCTACTGCCAAAGCCAAAGCTGCCCAAATGTGGAGAGCCATAGATCAGGCTCAGATAATGAGACCATTTCTAAAGCTTTGAATGTTCCCAGGAGCAGTGACCTCAACAAATGTAAAAGGGAAGAAGTCTTGAACCAGCAGCTCTCTTCCTAGATTTGGCCGTCAATCCGATGTGGGCGAGTAGACCTTGGTCAGGGTCTTCATAAGTCCTCTGCAGAGAGGATAGAATCTGCCAGGGCGACCACCTTAATATCTCTCAATCAATCAAGACTTCATGGTACAGTGGCTAGATAAAAAATCACCACTTTGTGTAAAAGCCATAATAGTCCACTTAAAGTTTGCCACATGGCATTTAAAGGACTCTGAGAGCATTAGCAACAATATTCTCCTGTCTATTACACAAAAATGAGCCCTCTGGGTCGAACTCCAGACACTGACTCTGGAGAACACCAGCCGTTGCTCATCACCTGGCAAATAACACCTCTGCATGGTGGCATCATGCATTATGGAGGCTTTCTCTGTTTTTTTTGTTGTTTTTTACATTTGAAGAAGTGATCCCCCACTTACTTTAATTGTATTGGATTCAACTGCTTCACTTTATCCCTGAGACTCCAAAAGTGTTTTGTGGACTCAAACACTTTACCAAAAACTGAAAATTCACTCATTATCTACTCATCATTATGCCGATGGAGGGGTGGGTAAACTATCGCTTTTAAGGAAAACCTGCTCCAGAGTGCAAGCGACCTCAAACTGAGACGATGCTTCTCCTTTCAGTACAACAATGACCTGAAGCACACAGCAAGACGCTGCTGGAGTGGCTTTGGGACAAGTCTCTGAACGTCCTTGATTGTCCCAGCCACAGAGCGTTGAACGTCACAGAACATCAGGGGAGACATGTGGTGGCACTCACAGATGCCTCCCATCAAATTTGATGGAGCTTGAGAGAAGCTGCCAGGATAAATGAGATAAAGTGCCAAATGTCATTTGTTCAAAGCTTGTAGCAACTTATCCAATAAGACTAGAAGCTGTAACTGCTGCCAAGATCTCTAAAGTACTGAAATAAGGAACATCTGAGCAGTTTTGTAAATGAAAGAAATCTGTCATTGATTTTTTTCTCTAAGATTGGAAAACTCTAAGAGCAATTTCAGAGTATGGGTTGAAAAAATGTCCTTCTCATAAATTTACAAATAAATCCAACAAAGTGTTAAAGGGGTCTGAATACTTTCCAAAGCTACTGTACATCTATAAGTATATAGTTTTATATCTGAGGACTCCTTTTCATTCAAAGGGATACAGAGTATTATTGTGTTTTTACTTTACCATAATAGATGTGTCATGACATCAAATATTTATTTAACTACAACTCAGATAATGCTTTGAGTGCTATAATATTTTTTTTTATCAAATTAGACATACTACAAATGATTTGCAATGTGAACACAACTATCTCTGGATTGTTTTAAATGTGAACATTCTCCCAAATCACCCAAACTGCCACTAAACTTTACATTTCTTTTTTCTTTTTAAAGTTAAAACTTCCTCCTGACCCAATGTCAACTGCTGAGAGTCCAACAGCTGAGCTCAGCTTACATGTCAGAGGTAAATTTCTACGCCTGAACTGTGTGAACTGTGAACTGTGAATGGTTCTGATACTTAAAATAAACACATGAATTAAAGCACCCACTGTTTCCCCCTCACTAATGTTAATAAAAGTTGGCACAGCTGACGTGAGAGAAGTGGATAAAGCTGAGGAGCCTGAGCTAATAAGAGGCCACATACAGTAATTATTACATTCAATTCACTGTGATGTATAGTGTGAGTGAGCTAACATTGTCCCTGGGGTGTAACTATATCCACTAATGAGTACAACACGCCTCTATGGGGATAAACTAAGGCTCAAATTACAGAAGAATCATCTATTGCATCATTAAAAACATCTGGTGTGTGTGTGTGTAATGCCTTTGTAAGTGCGTCTGGTCATTTTATTCGTTTCAGATTTGAAAAAGTACATGTCTTCCTTTCTGTTTGTCGTCTTATGGTCATTTGGTTTTTATTTTACATGGAGCTGCTTCGCATCAAGCAATAGAAGTGGTTTGAGCCACATGTGATGCAGTTGCCCAGCCTGTCTTTGTATTTACTATATCAGACCAGGACTGTCTCTGCCCCAAAGCAGCTCAGTGTCTGGCAGTGTGTGTTCAAATGCTTATTTTGTGGTTTTTATTGTTCACATTTTGCATAGAATTTGGTTCATGCGCTGTCTTATGGAATCTATTTAATATATATATTGTTTCAGTATAATGTTTTTTCTGACTGTGCTCTCCAAGATATTTTTTTTATTTTGATATTATTATAAGCTGGTTTGAACATGTCACAGAACACAGGTTGATTTGAGTTGAGGTTAATTTCAGTAGCTTTTGTTCTCTCTTGTTAAGCCCTATGAAACAAATTGTGATTTGGAATATGGGTTATACAAATAAAATGTGATTGATTGAAAATATAGCAACATCAAAGTACGTGTATATATTAAATAAATATTAAAATTATTAAACACGCTGACTGTTTAATTGTATGCTCTTATGTTATATTGCAATGTAATGGATAAGTTTACAAATATTGGCAAAGACAAGGTGCTATCACAAATTCAACACACACACACACACACACACTCACCCTGCTGTATGTGTAACATGTTGTAGATGCAGTTCTTACCTAATAAGGCCATGAAGCAGATGCAGATGGCGAAGAGAGAGCTGAAGCTCAGGCCCACGTCCTCCCTGTAGATGGCCAGTGGCGTCTCGCAGTGGTGTCCTCTGTACCCCTCCGGGCAGTGGCAGGTGAATTTGGAGGGTGACTGGGCCACACAGGTCCCCCTGTGACAAGGCCGCGTGGCGCAGAGAGTGTAGACACAGGACTTTTTGGACCCGTTCACTCGGATCATGTGTCCAGGAGGACATCTGCAGAGAAAGGTTGGACAGGAGACCACAGGGGAAATTAAAAAAAAAGGTGTCACAAATTAAATGTAGATTAAGATCCCTCACAGAACGTGACGGGAGGTGTGAATAGAATAACATGTTATATCCCTCTGAGGTACTGTATCTTTACAGGAACATTTCCAGATCCACTAAGAAACATGTAAATAAATTAGAGGAACAAGGAAAATGCAAATGACTTTAGACATTTGGAGCACTCGAGGTTCACTCGAAGATGAACATGAACATACAGGCTAAAAACATTGTCTTATTTAAAACTGTTTATAACCATTTCCCAGAGGAAAAAAACAAATGACTCTCTTTTAATCAGTGATCTCAGACGTATACCTCGATACAGAGAACGGATGGGAGGAGATGAAAACGCTGACTGTGGCTCTGGCAGTAACTAGAATGATTTTATGCAGACAAGGGCACATTTTCTGCCTCACTTCAGAAAGCACCACTATAATTAAAAGCTCATTTGGGTGTAACAGCTCAAACAAACATTTTACGAGCTCATTAATTCAGTATCACAGTCAATGTCTATGAAGCAGCTCCGGGCTGTACATTTTGATGACATCACAGATGAGTGTTGCCTCTGCTCTCAGGAGATTAGTCCATGCTTATAAATATTGACTCAACTTTACTATGAAATGGCAACATTACACTGAGGATGGGAGAGTAATTTATCTCATAACGGCTCCTCTTCTGCCAGAAAACTAATCTGGAGGAGAGACCAACTATAGGGTTAATGAACTGTATCTTCTGCCACACTGTCCCCTCAGTGACTTTCGATCGCACGTGACAGATCTGCTCCAGCGCTCTACATATATGGCAACATTACAAACGTTTGGAATGCTGGACTGAGGGGTAAATATCCAATATCATGCCTAGTCTCATCATGCTCTTTTTGGATCTTTTCAAAGTCCTGACCATAACCTTCTCCTCACCTTGTTTCCTGTGTAGCTGGAGGATTTGATCACTCGTAATTTTGTAGTGCAAAGGTTAGATAAACATCTGCTTACTTAAAATATGTTTAATGTTTGATCAGAATGTGTACATGCACACAAATACACTCATGATGCAGAGTGGAGAACGCCAATAGTAATGTGCATTAAAGGGTAGAATAAAAGGAACATAAACTACTGTAAACATTGGTGGTTTCAAAACGTAAAATACTCGATACCATACATGAGTTGTAGATAAAACTGCTTTTCCCCACCAATCTGATGCAAAGCTGGAAACTTTCATAATTAACGTGTCCTTCACTTCCCTCTATATTGATGAAAATGTACCCTAAATATGATAGACACAATTTTATTCCAGTCTGTAAATCATCAGCCCACATATATATATTGTCCTTTGTTCTGTAAAAACACATTCTCTAAAGACCAAATGTATATCTTTACCTTTACCAAACCCCAAGATGCAGAACAAGGTGCACACGTCTTTTATATCAAGATCTGTTTATCTGTTTATCTTGTCATCCTGTTTTTTGCATGTTAAGTGATCAAATCTATAATTGACGTATGGTGCCACATGGTTCTTACATAAGTCTAATCTCCTTTACTCAACCAGCTCCTGACAAACTTTTTCTTGACTCTTCACTCTCACCATTTTCACCAGCTATTTGCTAACTTTGTCTGTGATGCTACTGCAAGTGGAGAGTTTAATGCAGGTCTTGCCCAGAGAAAAACAGCTCCCTGCTGCTGCTGGTGATGGGGTCGATGAAAGTGATGAGAAGGAATGTGGTGTTCCAGGTGACGAGAACGCAGTGTAAAATTGTTTCCCTCTCTCTGTCGGCTGCAGAACTGATTTTAGGGTCTTGCTGATTGCTTTTACTGCAGCATTTCAGTACACTAATTCCCATAAGAGGCTTCTTCTGGCCATTTCATATCAGAACTGAGATTGGCTGCACTTTTACCATAAAAGGTGGAGTGACTTGATTGACAAAACCAAAGTCAGGATCATCTTTAACGTCACTGTTCGAGAGTATAAATGACTCTTTTTAAAGCAACTATATAGATAACGTGTGGAAGCAAATATCTAGCAGTACGAAGCACATTTTAAAAGATCATTAAATGTGGGTGGAATTATTGTCCCATAACAAAGGCTCAGCGCTCAGTATTCATTACGCCTGGTTGGAGTCTGAGTAGGTGTGGAATACAGGACACCTGTCAATTAGACAACAGCGTGTCGCCTCTGTCTGCTCTCTCTTATCACTTCCTCTCATTAGCCAGAGTTGGACTCAGTGCTGTGACAAGTGTCTTATCGTAACCTGTGATGAACATGTACACACTCTCACAGTGATTAGCGGCAGGTTTAGTGTTGTGGGAGGATGATCGCTCTTAACTTCAATTAGTTGTCACAGATAAATGCAAACAACAATAATGTAATAATAGTAATTTGACATCATTATCATAGTGTTGCACTGTAAATTGTGCCTTTTTAAACTAATCTAAAACATTAGTTTGTATTATTTCCTAAGTATTTTATTTGTATATTATCATAAAATCCTATATAATGTTTTTTTTTAACAATGATGTTCAATTTCACAGGCTTATCAACTCAATCAGCTGAAGCTAGACAATTGTATCAGTTATATTCAGAACAGAATTTCTGAAGCTATTAAAATATCCTCATTTTCTGCAAACTCTAATGTGTTATCAATTTCATTCAGATGGATGAAATTGCCAGTTCTGCCCATTCATCTACACTCAATGACCCAAACGCACAAGGTGAAGAAAAATTACTTTTATTAAAAAAAATTCTAAAATGGAAATTTCTCGTTTACAAAAGTATTCAGACGCTTTTCTGTGACACTTTAAACTGTGGTCAAGTCCAGGGTGTGCTTAAATCATCCTCAGCGTGTATTGAAAACTGAATCACAGGCCAATTCAATTGGTTGGATTTAGTGTCGAAAGCACACTGTGAATATACGGTTCCAAAATTCACACTGCAAGTGAGGACAAAAAAACAAGCCATGAAGTCCATCTAACTCTCTGTGGACCTCAGTGATAAATTGTGGTAAGGTGCACATCAGGGTAAGAGTTTGAAAGCCTTTCTAAAGTTTTGAGTGTTTCCAGAAAACACTGGCCCCAATAATTGTAAAATGGAATAAGTCTCCTCCTAAATTTGACCATTGGTCCAAACTGAGTGCAGCAGGAAGAGAGTGGCAAGAGAGAAGCCACTTTGACTAAAAGGTTCGTGACTGCTTGCTTGGAGTTGGAAATTTAAATGACTCAAACATGTGCAGGGATTTTTATCAAGTTACCTGTAACCCCATAGAATAATCCTTCATCAAGGAGATTGTGTTTTCATCAGCATATGTTTAATAGTTGGCAGGATAGAGGGATAACAGCTGCACAAATGTCCATGAAATTTTGTGGGACCATGTGGATCCCATGGGATGGGACATGGCCTGAGAAAGTGTCCATTACATGCTGGAGCAGATCAGAATAGTTAGAGAGTCCACATTTTGAATTAATTATTCGCAGCAAAGTAAGCAAAAAAACCAAACAATGGTGCACATGTACAAGTTTGAAGGTCGCTCTCACATGCAACAGAGTCCGATTGACAGGTACATAGACTAAGGAGTGAAAGAGAAGTTCTTACATAAGAGAGAGAATTGAATGCATGCACTCAAACAACTGATAAAAACAACCAGCTTAGCGGATGTAACATGAAGACTGTCTATGTGGATGGTACAAACTTTATGGGCGATAATGCTGTTGCAATGATATGCTGCACACAGCTGTACAATGCGACAATTAAGCAAAACCCAAAGTTAGGGATCTCTTATGTTACTCTGAGAAGTGTGAAATATTTTTTGTTTCATTATCAAACTGTAGCAGAACAAATAAGGTGCAGTCTAGAAAATAAATGGGAAACACTGCTTTGACATGGCTGCTAAACAACTGTTGTTCTGGGTTTTATTTCGTAAACTAAAATAATAAAAATGAATAACAATGACAGATCAGTGTTTTTGTGTGTGCTAATTTGATCCTTGGGTAGAAATATTATTCACACTTAGTGTTTTCACGTAGTCAAATTGTCTAAGGGTTTAGAGGACTCACTAAAACAATTACTCCTCTTATCATCTTCCAGAGTTCATGTCAAGTTTTGAAAAAAGAACAAACGAGTAGGGAGAAGATGGAGAGTGTTCATGGTTATATTGAGTGGTAGGTATGTGTCTGTGGTACAGGGCTTAAAAAAACTGAACTGTACAGAAGTGGCCAAGATAAGAGATGGTGGGGCAGAGGGCGAGAGTGAGAGCCATTGTTAAAAAAGAAATAGATTGGTGGATAGGTGTTATGGGTGAGTGGATCAAAGGAGTGGGAGGAAAAAAAAGAAAGGAAAGATTAAAAGCCAGGAGTCAGAAAAAATGGCTGAGATTCGTGTACGTGGCTAAGAGCACTCAGTGTTTGATTCAGTGTGTGCCACAGGAGAGGGTTGTTAGTTTGCTGCAGCTTTTCATTGCATGACATTTCCCATTTCCAACTGACAAACAAACCCAGGAATACAGCAAGTCATTCAGCAGCGCATGTAAAATGTTGATCTTGCATAAGTGTGAATCCCATCAGGCTCAGGGGGCTGGGAAAATAATTTATTTTCACCTCCAACGTTTTAGGTGTTTAGCTCGGTGACTGAGCAGGTGAGGTTCACTGCTGTATTCCTTTTGCACGTCTGCAAGGAAGACATGGCTGTCTGCTGAACACGCTGCCTCTCACGGGGTTTTAACTACTGGCGGTCCCTCAGAGGACACATTTCGACTGACAGCAACAAAACAAAGTGTCTAAAGGTGATCCTGGCTCAACTTTTTTTTCCCCTTTTAACAGACTAGCGATGCAATGCATTAGTCTCACAAATACTGTTTACCTCACAATGAGACAGTGAAGAAGAACAGTACTGTTGTTTTTATGACCTGCCAATCCCCTTAAAGAGGACAAACTACAGTCAGTAGCCTTCACACTGAATTCTCTCCATTGGATTTCCTCCTGTCACTACTAACATGTAGCAACATGCAGAGCAGCTCAGCCTGTGACAACTAACTTTATCTAGGGAACATCTAAGAGCCTGAACTACTAAGATCCCAAATAAAGAGTGTGCATTATAACAGATTGGTGATTGCACCTGTTAGCATTTACACAAACATGGAGGAGGCAGTAGTATGTGTTACTGGTTTCCTCCGTGGAGCATTATGGAGAGCAGTGACTGCAAGCACAAAGCGAACTTTAATGTGATGGAATTGGAGGTGTTAGTGGAAGAGGCAAACAAACATATTAAATAAAGAAATATTGATATAACTTATTAAGGGAGGCAGTAGCTCAGTCCATAGCGACTTAGCTTGGGAACCGGAGGGTGGTCGGTTCAAGTCCAGCATGGACGGAAGTTGGAGAGGTGCCAGTTCACTTCCTGGGCACTGCCGAGGTGCCCTTGAGCAAGGTACCGAACCCCCCAATTGCTCCCCGGGCGCCTTCATGGCTGCCCACTGTTCCGTGTGTGGTCACTGTGTGGATTGTGTTCCGTGTGTTCCATGTGTGCTCCGTTCACACGGATGGGTTAAATACAGAGGTCAAATTTCGCCATGTTTGCATGTTGCATGCTGTGTGTGGGACCATAAAGAGGAATCTTAATCTTAATATTATAAGAATTTAAAAGAAGGTGGCAGGACATAAGAAAAATAACTTTAGCAAAAAAAAGCTCATAATAAAACCTCTGCAAATAAAACAGGTGGGGGGGCCGGTGGAAGAGAGGCCTCTGATCAATATTGTGCAGGAGGTAAGAGCTGTGTCCTGTGTGGCACGAGCTCTCAGGCGTGACACTCGGGCAATTGAAGGAGCCCGCACCAGGCAATTGGTCAGCAATGCATCTGGTGTGACGATGGCCAGCAGTGCCCTGGCAAAAGAGCGATTCTTTTTTCTTCTGTCAATTCAAACATGTTAACACGAGAAGAAAAAACCTGTTCTCTCCTTCTTCTTCCAAGCCGTCTCCTCCTCACTACAATGACTGCAGCCATCTGTGTGTAATGCTGTGCCGATTAGCACCTACCTTTCAAACGTATTAAATATAGATGCAGTCACACACAAACATGACGTTGCACATTGCATATTTATTAAGACAAATTTACTAAATGAACAACACTTGTTATTCTGCACACAATCCTCAGTGCACAACATTAGTAGATCAGCTTGCGTGTTTTTGCGGGTGAAATCAAGCTTGCACACTTTTTTCAAAGTTAAAAAAAATCCCTTTAGTTAAAAGCCCAACAGAAAAGGGGCTTCTCCCACCCCCACATAAAGCACTGCTCCTGGAAGGCCTTATCAGTAGTCTGGCTGATACATCCACATCATTGTGATGTCAATGCCATATGTTGCATAATGTATGCAGGCTAGTCTGCCACGCCCCTAACAAAACCAGGTAAAGGAAGAGCAGAGGCCAACATTTATTACATATGCTGGAGGGGGTTGACCAATCACAACAGAGGAGCAGCTGACCAATCAGAGCTGACTGTACTCTACCCAGAGGAGGGCCTTAAGGAGACAGCAGCTAAAACCAAGCGTTTCAGACGGAGGAGCTACAGCAATGGACACTTTGATGAAAGTGATGTTTGCCGAACATTAGAGAATTAAAAACCTTTCGAGTAATAACCCAAATTCAAATGATGAACCTGCATATAAGCATATTAGGTCTTTATCTTCTTTATCTTTTAGCTGTTATGTGATGCAAACTAATTATTTGATGATAATGGGGTTCATTTGGTTAATTCAGCCATAATCTGAAGGACTGTTGCAGGGGTGGATCCAGCGGCCATGGACCCAGTTGAAATCTGATTGGCCCCTGAAGTGCCCCGGTCCTGTCAGTAGTCTTTCCAAAAGAATAGAAGAAAAACTTGTCACAAAAATACTAACCGTAAATGTTCCAAATATGTTCAATGATGTGTGGCTTTGCTCCAAGCTATAGAGCTAAGTGTAAAAATGTTCATGATTTAAATGTGCAACCTACCAAATCAGGAACCGTGCACTGATGTTGGACATATAATTGGCTCCGCTGTGTAAAAGTTTGGTCCCTTTATGACCCCTGATTTAGCAAAAACCCTGGATCTGCCACCGGACTGATGCACATCTCAGGTGTACAGGTATATGTGCTGAGCTGTTAAAATGAATGTGCAAAGTCATATGATGCACTGAATGACTTTGTCACTGTTCTGAAGCATTTCTCCTCTTTTCTCCTCCACTGATACACTTGCTATTTTTCAAAGACAAGACATCACGTCCAAAACAAAAGAAAACATAATATGTGATGACTGCAACCAGTTTTTACAGAATGTCTGGCAGTCACACTTTGTTATTTCAGCCTGTGGTGTTAAATCAAAAACCGGATCAGTAACAATGAAATGAATTAAGGCTTTTTTATGTATGTGGACATTACACACACAAAGTCCATAATCATTTCCTTTGAAAACAAAAAAGTCCTGAAAAATATAGGCTAAAATGGTTAACTGAAAAAAACAATGTTTTGCCTGACGATAAGAAAAAGGGTAGACTACATTTAAAAAGAACAAGTTGAGAGAGAACTAGCTGCAGTCAATCTAGGATTTCCATCCATCTTGTATCTGGGTTGATAATCCTTAAATTTTGGAAACGGGATACACTAGAGTCAGATTCCTCTGAGCCACTCCTGAATCTGTAATCACCAGAAAAGTGTTTTATGGTGTAGAGCAGCGACTTACGGTCTGGCAACTCCCTCAACTGAAGAAGTCAAAGACGGGATACAAAAAAAAAATAAAAAAAACAGAGGCAACACAGGTTGAGATATTTTGACTTTTACTCCCCAGACTGGACTTTAAAAATGCAAGATCCTACGCTTCCCATAATGCAACTCCATAGCAAAATTGGGCTAGACCAGGTAAAATACCCATGGCATTAAAACCTCATCCCCAGTTTTTATGCAGGCTTATTGCCAAGCTGAGAAGAAGCCAAGAGACTTTTCACATGTACCATTATTTTTGTGGTGTTATCTGTCTCCATGTTGTGTCTCGACAGGAACATCTTGGTTAACTGAAGGATGAAAAATGAATCGATCCTCATGTAAAATCTGTGGTTTACTCTCTGGAGGGCTTTTCACAAATGGAATACATAACACTGCGGGCTTCATCTATCTGTTGACATGATGGCTCGTCTGTCCGTCAGCAGAAATGTTACCTACAGCTTCATTCAGACAAGACAGGAAAAGCACTGCCTGTCAGCAACAGGGAGCAGAGAGGGAGTGAGAGTGGGGAGTTCAAAATGTCACAACGAGGATGAAGACAGTTTCTTTTCTCTCACAGTTGAATCAGTCAAGCATTTAAACATTTTCAATTTTCTTGCTTTAATTAGTGAACATGGTCAAGACCCTGCCTCTCACAGTGAACCCACTAAAACAGCGTCACATTGGTTTTATAATTTCACAGTGATTTGCTATCACATATAAGCATACAAGTTATTCTTATTGTTGTATCAAAGTTTTTAAAATAATTCATTCTTTTTTTGAATAATGTAATAATAATTCATTTAGTCGGTTGTGCCATTTCATCCTTCTGTATATGTGAAAGTGTGAGGTCCTTTGGCTCCATAAAACGGCTGCCTTGGTATTTGCACAGACGTTTCATCAGCTTTGGAACAAATAAAGGTTAAGTGATGCTCTTTCTTCTGTAACTTTCCAACATTCTCAAACAGGTCAGGGTTGAGCTATTTTAAAACACATTCATGTGAGTATGAACAAATATAATATCAAGGTCAAAAGCTGGAAAATGGCTTCAGAGGAAGTGTGAGTTGTTTTAAATATATGTGTCCTCATGCCTTTGCGTCAAAATGATGAGTGTGTACGTGGAACAGCCAAGTGTGACTGTGTGGTTGCAGAGTGTGTGTGTGTGAGTGTGTGTACCTGCATTCGTGCACTCTCCACAAGTCGACGCAGGTGAACGGGGCGCTACACTGGTTCTTTTTGCAGGAATCAGACGAGCACCCGAGGGAGAGGCCCTGTACGCTGACCTGGGAAACCCCATCTCGCGGCTGGCTGTCCATCGGCATATAGCGACCATTGAGGCGTAGGTCCCTCATGCAGCCTGAGGCAGTAAAAATGGAAAACAGAGCTCAGTGGAACAAGAAACACACTGTTATCTACACAGACACACAATTTAATTATACAGAGCCTGGTGTACCTGGTGAGCAAACACTCGCTGCATAGATCCACTGTTGTTTTTAAGACCCAGACTGCTCTGTCACAGTCAGTGCTTTCCAAGGTTTACTTAATATTTTTTAGAGGATGTAGTGTTATATTGATCCTCATGTTGTGAGGTGTTTATTACAGCATCTTAAAAATGCCATTTAGGCTGTTTGCCTTCAGTGTTCTCAGATGTTTTTTTACAAAGACTTGCACACATGTGGGGCATCACATGACGTGCTCCGTGGTGTTTGGACAGCTGTGCTGTTTACAAATGTAACTGCTTCTCTGGAGTACATGACTGTTTGCAAAATGCTGCACACACAGTAACCAGCAGAATAACTCGACAATTATATTTCATAGGTTTTTATAATTTTTAGAACTAAACTTCAAACTGAGATCTGGTAACATTGTGACGTGACACCAGTTCAGTCATTAGAACATCAACCAATTGAACACAATATTATGTGAACGCAGAATATGGTTTGCTCCATCCCCCCCTGCCACCCTGTAAGGATAAACAGGATAGATGATGGATGGATGGATGAAAAATACTGCATAAAGAAACACAGATAGTTTGTGTCTACTCTCTGACTTTGTTTCAGAGCGGGGAGCGACACATTACGACCAGTAGAATGTGAATGTTTCTAATGAAGACTTTGTCCCGGTTATCATTTAATTGTCTCTTGCAGTTTTAATTGTTTTTTTCTTCTATTTTAGCCTATTGTTTACGTTTCACTTTAACTCTTGGTGGCTATGTTGTGTTTGATCAAATTACATTTACTTGTAAACTTCAAATAAAGGTTTTAATAAAGTTAATTCTTAACTCCTGCTATGGGAATGAAGGCTCAGGGCTTAAAGCACTGATGCTCGGCTGGCATTATATGACACCACTGGACACATGTTGCAGTAAAAAGCAAACAGCCCCCCCCCCGCTACTAGTAATGAATGTCCACGATAAACAAATTTATTTCAGAATCAATGAGTCTAACATAGAAACATTACACATGAAGAGACACATTTATCTCATGTCAAATCCAACATGAAATGTCAATGAGCTTTGCTACCGACAGGTCTCACTGCAGAGCAGAGTTCCTCAGATCTCTTTCCTGGCAGCTAGGGTAACGTTTGAAGGTCTGCAATTACTCATCGTGTCTACCTCAGTGTAGAGGATGTTGCTCAAGTGTTTCCATGGAGCGACGGAGCCACGAGTGCCAGAGATCACATATTTCTGCTGTTTAGGTTCTCAAATCAAAGAGCACTTTCCCACCATCTCTCACGTCTGCCTCCTTTGAAACAAAATACTTTTAAAGTCCATTTAAAAAAAAACATGCATTGTCTTTTACTGCCTCAGGCGCAGTCGGCTACACCTCTCACAGTGGAACTCCAGGGAGCTCTCCCTCTTTCTATCAGCCGCTCTCATGGTTCTGACCTCCTCTTCTCTGTTATCACGCAGCATTTTGCCCTGTTCTAGTTTCTATACATCCTCATTCAGACTTCTATCCTGGGTGAATCTTTTCCACTGCATGAATCATCATTTAGCTTCATGTGCAGTCCCTCCTCTCTCAGGGCTGAAAGTTCTCTCTTTACTGTATGCTATTACTCATCCGCCGACCTACATTAAACCAAGTCAGTTTTGGGGAATCCATTCTTTCAGACTGCCTGTCATTCGTAGCCCGAGCCTCAGAAGAATCAATGTGTGCTTGTGCCCATTGTGTGGGTTTAGTCATAAGAGAGGGAGTGGAGTCGGCACTGTTCTACCAAACAAGTTTTAGACAAAAAGTCTGACATTTTAGGAAATAATCGTATTCGCTTTCCTGCAGAGCAAAGAGGAAGCTGAAGCTTTGCGGACAAAACAACGTGGACAACTAGTGGTTGTACTGGTGAGGTTATATTGCAGACAACGGGCGAGGCCACACATACGTTATATAGAGGCCACACATACGTAAATAAAGGCAAATGTCTCAGGTCAAAATCACCAAAGCTGAACTCTACGCTAAGCTCCACTGTGGATTTGCTTCATCACAGGAATTTACCCCCCCCCCCCGCTCAGACAGATTGGAAGTGAACAGGAGATGACATTTTGCCACTGCTACATTAGCGTATGTGCCTAATTTGTTTCTGAACGGACAGATAAGAGAGTGGTGGTCTTCAGATTAAACCTCCAGCACCTTGGAAAACATTTAGAAAGCACATTTGTGGAAATGTCAAGCTTGAACAAGACCGAGACAAAAGTAACAACAGGAAAATGCGTGACAAGGGTACTGTAGTTGTCTTCTTCTTCTGTGTACTCAAATAATCTACAGCAGTGGTCGGCAACTGCCGGCCCACGGGTAAAAACTGTCCCACCAGCAATAATATCCCACCCTCCAGATCATTTTGATAATTTGATTATTTTTAGTGCATCATATCGGACTGACACAGACAGATGTGTCTTAAGCAATTTCTCGAAGAAGTAAAGGCACAAGGTTCTTCTGTCTGTTTTGTATTCAGACTTTGAAGAGCAAGGTTAGTGAAGATTTTGCAGCACAAAACAATTGGCACCTGTCAAACTTCATATTGTGAGCATTACCTGCTAATTATAGTGTGGCTGTCAAAAATGATTCATTTTTAATCCATGATATATTCACTTTGATAGAAAGTTTTCAGAACCTTGAATGAAAAGCATCCAAAACATCTACAGTAAACACAAGTATTACTGTAGGTGTCATGTATTGAATCTTTGACACACTATGAGATACTTTTTGATTCACAAGCCTTTTCATTGGGGGCTCAGCTTTATTCTGCACGTCAAATAGTTGTTGTCAGAGAAGACTTTCCACACACCAGGAGTTAAGAGCAGCACACGTGAAGGTCTTTGTGAATTGGATGTGGGCTGAATCCCAAGCTCTCTGCAGCACTTCCTGTGTCAGTGTAGTTCATTACACTTTGCGTTCACAATCGGGAGCTGTCAAGTACGTCTGCACGGGAACAGCTGGAGGAGTGAGAGGCTGAAGGACAACTTGTTAAATGAACAATAAATTAAAATTGGCTTTTTGACGTCCTTGATCATGAACTTACACCACAGCCTCAGCAATCTCTTGGGCAATTGCTGATATTTCCAACAGAACCTCCTCAAGCTGGATTTTCAGCAATTGCAATCTGATTCAGCAGATGTGGACAGCTGCCTGACTGTTACATCCTGTTTCCCTCTACTCTCCCTTCTGCTTTCAATGAGTACTTTTAAAAAAAAATATGCTCGGATCATCTCATCAATTTTTTCATGAAGGCAGTTGTGGTATTGTGTTTACACTGAATATTCCCCTTGAACAGATTTTCAGTAGTATTTCTTATTCACTCATCTGTTGTTTTTTCTCATCTCTTACCCGTTAGTTCTGTTCTCTACTCGTGATAATTACATTCAGTTAAGTGAATTGGCTGTAAATGGGAGGGTGGGGGTGGGGGAAACCCTATATATAAAGGTATCTTATCAGAAAATACACTTTATAAAAAGTAAACAAATTGTTCGATTCTTAGAAATTGACTTTTCTTGCAGAAAGCAGAGGCTTGTTGTCTAGAAAAAAAGGACAACACTTGAATATACCTGTGATATGTTGCTGCATCTTTGTAGAGTAAGTGAAAAAACCCTCCCCCATGCTGCATGCCAAAGTGTCCTTGGGCAAAATATTGAATCAAATTGACCCTGACTGCTGTGCTGGCAGTGTTAGATTGATGTGTCATACATAAAGTGCTGCACATAGATGTACTGTATGAATGTGTGTGTGAATGGGTGAATGGCAAAACTCTGCTGTAAAGAGCTTTGAGTGGTCATCAAGACTAGAAAAGTGCCATTTACTATGTTTTTAAATGAATTTCCAGTGCGTTGAGAAAAACGCTCTTTCCATCAGAAAGTCACGTTTCATTCACGTGTCTCAGCTGACTCCGACATGAAAGGCTGCGTTACCTCAAACTGATAGAAGAGAGTCAATGACCCACAAAGACTACTACACTCTCTTTGCCCTCCAATACAATGATACTGTTTTAACTTTGGGAATGTTCGAATAGTGTTTCCCTCCCAAATGGACTGCAGAGAAAATCCTTCTGTTCAAGCAGTGAAGCAAGTCAGCAAAAATGTTACACTTAAAAGAACAAGTTTTTTCTCTCTGAAGAGATATTGTACACTTTAATGAGTTTTTTGACGTGTTGAACAAGTCACCACCTAGAGGGTTTCAAACCATCTTGCACCTTGTAGGACCGATGCTTAGAGTCAACTATTTGGGATGTCTCTGCATCATCACATTTATGCATACATTTAAAAAGGTTAACATCCTTAAATCAAAGTTCTGCAACTTTGATTTAAAAAAGTGGAAATCTTGGAAGCTGCTTTCAAATGTATGCTGAAACTAAACCCCTAAAACACACATAGCCGCATAGTGGCTGCCTGTGCAGTTTAGGTAATTTAGCTGAATCCAACTGGTTTGTCGTATATGTATGTCTGTGTGTGTGTGTGTGTGTGTGTGTGTGTGTTTTAAGGAGGAGGTAGTTGGTCTTAACCCTGCCTCCCAGGACTATGTTCGATAGGCATTTATTGCATTTTAGGGGAGAGACACTTAACTTACACTGTAAGAATTACAGTAAAAATTAGATAAGAAACGGATGCCATTAATGCTGGTAGTGCAAATTCTAATTTTTAATGGCTAGCATCGCTTGCTGCAAACCATCCCAACAATCCCCTTGATTGTATCAGTACCAAGTATCAGGATGAGAACAAAGGACCATTTTTGAATTATTTAGTAGAGAACAGTGATGAACCACTTTGCTTTGCATTCTGGAGAGACATCCTTACATGGCTCGGGCAGATTACTGCAAGAACTAAGAGGGAAACATTTTCCACACAGAATGGGAGAATGTGTTATGGCACAGGAGAGTATAAATATTCCTGGAAAATAACTAATGGGTCATAAAACGGCAAAATAGCACAGAGGAGTGTTTGGTAGTCACCATCCAAACATCATGCAGGCTGCAATGAATGTGCAAGTCCTCTGACCTAAAGAGCTGGGTAGGGCTCTTGTGTTTGCCCTTAGATACAAGACCATGGTCATCATGGTGAGAATGATGCACACGCAGTTCAATTTGTAGAACCATCACATTCTGATTGGGTTCAGGCATAAAAACCGCTCGACAACAAAGAGGATGTGATGTGTGTGATGTGTCACAGGGTAAAATGAAAAGGCTGGTGTGTCATATGAGAGACAATAACAAGAATTCCTCCTGAAAAGTGCTTCCAGAAATAGACTGATCTATTTATACAGTTTCAAGGGAGGATTGTGACATTGTTTGGCTCACTCACTCAAATGTATCTTCTTTATTAGGATCACACACCTGTGTGTGTGTGTGTGTGTGTGTGATGACAAGAACCTAAATAAAAATTGAAAATTGTCAAATTTGAATGAAAACAAATGATATGTCTCAATCGTTACTAACCCTCTTAGGCACTTGTCTATGACTCTTGCTACTATGTAATATAACAATAGATAGTTTATGCTCACTGAAAGCTGAATCCCTCTCAGGATGTTACAAGTTGTCTCAATTAAACAGAATATTTTGTTTGTCTGTTCCCTCTAGAATGACAAACAGAAATGTGTTCTCATTCTTAAGGCAGGGCGACATCTGTCTGTGCCTTCTCAAACTGTAACAAATCCCAGCTGATTAACTGGTTCAGTTTAAGACAGGACTTTAATTCACTTACCCTGGAAGCTTTTGTTGACCACAGATGGGAAGGTATTGCCCAGAATCACCACACTGGGGTCAATAATGATTTCTCTGCTCCGGCCTCGCGATCCCGTGACCTCGCGCTGCCCTCCACCGCCGTCCAGTCTCAGCGTCGTCTCGTTGTCATGGCGATCCAGGAGGACCTCATGCCATTCCCCATTGTCCAGCCGATACGTGGGCAGGGTCACGTTGTAGTCTCCGTCACCGAGGTTGTAGAAAACACAGAGGAGGCCCTGGAAGATCTGTAATGGGAGAAGAGGACATTTTGTGTTAAGTGGCTTAGATATTTAGTGGAGCTTCGATCTCTTATTTTTTGAGTTGGGGTAACTGCTCCATATTGAGACATTGTTGGTGGTCATTGAGAATATTTTGGAAATAAACGTCAACACAGAAAAGAAATGCACATTAGGATGATGCACCAGTGACAATAAACTGGCAGCAGCAAGTCTTCAGTGTATTCATAGTTTAGTCAGTCAACATTTATTGAGACAGCTCTGTATGGATTCCTCTTAGTGTTGTATGGAAGGATCAAGCTGTTGTTTTGCACATTAGAGATGATGGACAATTTTTACTAGCAAATGTACTAAAGTGCAGAGACAACTAAAAAGCCTGCGACTATTAAGTCTGAGAAAAACAAAACATTTTCTGTTCTGATTCATTCTTAGCCTTTTCACCAGTGTCAGGTGAATAACTCTGATTTCCTTTGTTGCAGTCTCAAAGGGCAACAGCACTTGCTAACAGTTTGTGAAACTTCAACAGTTAACACAGTTTATGTTGTTATTTTTCCATCTGATAGAATGTCAGTGGTTCATTCCTAAATCTCTATCACTCCCCTGCCTCGTCTTATCAGCTGACTGTTCACGGTAATCCAATCGGCCAATCATGTTACTGCTATCAAACTTTAAATCTGTTTTTTTTTTTCTTACGTAGCTGTGTTAGAGAGATTGTGCCACAAAATGAAGCAACAGGTTCTAAATTTATCAAATAGCTCACAGCTAATTATTACAGAACTTCAGGTTTCAGTGTCCCAGTGTCACAATGTTGTACATGTGTAAACCTCAAAATCCTTACATCAAACAGAATTAGTCACACATTTCCAGAGTAATTACAGGCCTGGCAGATGACCAAAGTACACCTGTAAGCCAAATCTGGCTCAGCTCAGACAGTACACATGTAGCAGAACTAGTGGAGCCATCACTGACGACTAAGGAAAACTGGGGACTTAATGTGAATAGTAGTGTAAATAGATCTTGACATAAAGCTTATTGTGATAATTGGAACATAAACCCACATGTCACTGCAGCGTATCTTGCGGGTGTACCATCAATTGATCTTTCTTTAGCTCAACAGAAGAAAGGGCCAGACCTGTCTCCCAGCAGAGTGGATCTCAACAGTATCTGGGTTTAAAACAATATGGAAACAGAAAAGATCTGTACAAGGACAGGATTTCTTGGGATAATCCGCAAATCTCCCTGTAAAAAGGTTTTTATTGACGACAGTTTTTCCTGCCATCTGTCTAGGTTTGTTTTGGGCTGCATCTCAAGGTAAAGATAGTCTGTCCCTTTGTTTGGAGACGGTGGCAGAAGTCATCGCAGCTCGGATCTCGAAAACCTTGGCAAGTTAGATCAAAACTATCTGCATGGTGAGATACCATTACTTCTGTGGGTAAAGAGGGAAATACGTTAAACTGATCCCTGCCAAGTCTCAGGATTTAAAACAAATGAGAATCAGAAGAAAGAAAAGCGTTCAGGTGGTTGGTAAAAGACTGGATCAATAGGCCTATTTGGCCAATAAGCCAGATCGACTCCCTAAAGGGTCACAAACAAAGGGAAAATTAAAAAGTCCCACGTGGTTAACTGACATTCACACACACACACAAATACACACCTACACACACACACCTGCACACACACCTACACACACGCCCACACACATTCTTGTGAAAATCTCATGACTAAATGCTGAACACAAATCCTTACTCAAATTAATTCTAACCCTAACCCTTGCCTAAAACCAAGTCTCACACATAGACACACACACACACACACACACACACACATGCACACACACAGACACATGCAAAGAGTGACTCAAGAAGCATAACCTGTTGATGAAGATTATGACAACTGGGAGCAGAGGGAAAGGGAAATTCATTGATGACGACTAGGGAGAAAAAAAACAACCTGTCTCATGTTTACACAACAGGTTGTTTCCCTTCACCCTCAGATCTCAAGATGAAAATGGATCATCTTGGCTTGGCAGTGACATCCATCACCGAGCAATATTCATTTAAAACAAACCCAGCAGTGTGTGTGTGTGCATGTACGCATGTGTGTGTGAATCTGTGTGTTTATGAGAGACAGGTGGGGGGGTGGAGTGAGCAAGTTTGAGAGAACAAGTCTGAAGGCCATTTTGAGAGGAATAGGGTGGTGGGTTCTCCATCCTCATTTCAATTTCAAACTGTTTCCTCCAAATGTCCCACTGAGCATAATTTTCTCCTCTCTACCATGTAAACATGACTGAGATGAGAGCGGCAGAGAAAGAGAGACAGTGAGATGGAGAGGAAAAGTGGGTAGGACCACCATTAGTGCTCCCACTCCTTCTCAACATAATGAGGACACAACGAAAAAAGGAAATCTAAAAAAAGACTTGTCTCTCTCTCTGTTTGTCCATTACTCTGCTGCATTGATCCCTGCTCCTTTTTTTCCTGATCTAAACTATGCTTCATTCAATTATTTGTAATAGTCAACAGATGTTGACATGATTTATAATCTTTCTTTTCTTTTAACGCCTAATTTAAATTTTGTTTAAATTTTTTATGGGTCAAATTTGGCTGGGTAGTAACCATGGGTTTTTTATTTTGAGAAATAACATAGTAAATGTTGCAAATGCATCATTATCAAATATATATATATATGTTGTGGAAAGATTTTATATATAATAGCTAACATAATATAACAATGTGTCATATTAAAACGATGTTTCCTGCCAAGAAAGTTTACTGACTTGAATTTAATTGTTTGTATATATACTGTACACAGTGTATACAGTTATGTATTCATTATTATTAACTCTGCAGATTAAACATTTTACTGAAAGTGCTGGTTAATGAATATTATAACAGGTCAAATTTGACCGTCGAATGCTGAGGGTGTAAACAACAACCCTCTCGACAGCTCCAGGTTTGTTTTTTTGAAGCCCCTTGCTCATTTCAAGGCTCTGTGAGGAAGTATTAATTATATTTCAACTCCACTGGGGCCAGTGCTTTTTAACCAGACACACTCACAGCCACCTGATTTTACCCCCCAATTAAAGCTGAGCGGAGCGCAGCAGTTTGGCTCCTGCTTCGCTCCCTGGGTGGTGCATGAGTGAACGTGTTCCACGGTGTGTGAGGTGGGGTGAGTCTTTGCAGAAGTGACTCACACACGAGGTGTAATTTGAAGGTGTGTGACTCCATTTTTGAGTGAACAGTCCCACCACAGGAACAGTCTCATTTCCCCAGACGCTCCCTGCAACAGGCTGCTCTCCATGCTGCAGCCTCTCCATATCCCAGACAATATGCAGAAAATGTATTAATCATGATTCAATTATATATATAATCACATTACTATTTTATGCTGGAAAGTTAAACCATTGGGCAATATCCACATCACAAGTGTTTTCTTTCCCACCCATATTTTCCCACCTCCAGATATCTGCTCTGCAGTGTGCCGCTTTAGAGTCTAGATATTGATTTGGTCATAAAAATAAATAAATATATAAAACCATTCGCTGCTGGGCAAATGGCTTCACTTTCAATTCTTTCCAGCCTAAAGGCAGATATAATTTAGTATAATTTATGTTAAATGCTCTGTGCAAACAGCGGCAGCTCCAGCCTGGTGTCGATCCGAGTGTTTGTTAAAGGAAAGTTTCTCATAATTTAAGAATAAATGCCCTGGGTTTCTAAGGTTGCTGGAAAGACCTATGCAATCTGGTGCCAAGAAAAAACAGTGTTTCATCAGTTACATCAATTAAAAAGAAAGTAACGGGTCATTAATCATATGAAGAAGTATTCTCCTTATTGTATGAATCATGTTCTAGCCTGTACACAGATTATATATTTAGTTAGTTTTGTCAAACCATAAAATACTTGTCATCCCAAAGTCAAGCAAATCTGCCTTGTAAAAACAATAAGAGCCAGACAGTGAGGGGGCCTGTGGAGTTTTCTTGTAAAAAAATAATAAATGATCTTTTAATTCAGTGTTACTCACCTAGATGCAGTGAGAGTAATGAACTGCACGTTCTTCCTCATCAAATATCTACGAAGCAGATATTAAAATCCAATACAATTTATATTGATGTTCGCTGCCATGATCAGTGGAACAGTGGGACATACCCTTTAACCAAACATTAACACACTGTAGCTCCATAGCTCTGCTAGATCATCTTCCTCCTGAGATCCCCGTGCTGTGGAAGACATGCTTCTTCGTACCGCTTCCCAAAGATCAACTTCTGACCCCAGTGACGTCAGAGCAGGACGTGCCGACCTGTGCAATGTGATGTAATCTAATTTAATTGTTCTGCCGTAAATTTGACTTACAATTCATTGATATATATGCACTGAGGTCAATGCCAGTGATGTTGTTAGACTGGGCTGCTTTATAGTAAGGTGTTTTAGGTGTTTTATATTCAGCTGTTCACAGTATTGAGCCATAATGAGTAATGGTTGGATTCATACATTCACTGTGATTGACAGTAAGGTGCTACAGTGAGCACAAGGCTGGCCGTGGAAAGTTCTGCCTTAGATGTGTGTTGCCAAAAACTTTAGTTTTTTTTTCAGTGTTTTCCTCACTATCAACAAGAAACTACAAGCAGCACAAACTGACCCACTCAGAGCTCCAGTCCACAAATGTGCTGTCTCAGTTGCTTCTGAACTGTTAAACCTTTGTGTAGACAGACATCATCCATACAGCATAGCCTACGGCATAGCTGCAGCAGCTCCAGCACGTTGCTGTAGTGAGGGTAAGTCATAACCCCTTAACACCTGGCTGCATAAAATTCAGCTCAAGGAAAGTTGAATAGGCACTTAAAGCCAGTGAGGGATCACACCCTGTAAGTGCTTTATGTGGTTCACTGCTGTGGGGGGAGAGAGATGGGACCCTGCATTAACAGTGCACCTTACAAATGAAAATATGTGTTGAGTGTGTAGTGTTTTTTACGCAAAATACTATAAACAACACAAAACAAGCAGAGTTTCAGTCAA